TAGAGACTGAAATCCTTACCTGCTAGTTCTCTGGCAGCATAGGGCTGTCTGCTATTTTTGTGCAAGTTGGTATGAACAAATTTGATCATCTAGTCAGAGGGGAGCCTTGAATAAAACTGGCATTTTTGCCAGATGATGCCCCCTTTTCAGAATACACAGACAGATGTTAATAGACAAGCACAAGCCGTGGCCAGGGGAGAAATAGATTATTATATTTATAAGCTGTTTTGTGCAAGTATCTTGGTAACCACAAAGCAAAAAACCTACAAGACTCACAAAACTTAAAAAGAAGGGAAGCAAAACCTAGAACACCCTGCACTATTTAGTCCTGAAGCTGGTGGACCTATAACCATTAAGGTTGCTACATTTCACAAATAAAAATATAATATGTCCAGTTAAATTTGCATGTCTGATAAACAAATTTTTTCAGTATAAATAGGTCCCAAATATTACATGGGCCTACTTATACTAAAGATTTATTAGTTTTCAGGCCTGTGCCTCTATCTGTTCCCTAAAAAATGTTCCCTTATAATGATAAAAAAATACCAAGAAATGAGGCAGGGAGGGGATCCTATGATAACCAAAAATAATGCAGGATAAACAGGCTTAGTAAAGAGTTACCTAAAGAATTCTCCAACGTGGGGCCTCCCCGGTGGCGCAGCGGTTGAGCGCTGGGTTGCGAAGCTGCCCGCAGCGTCTGCGGCGCCGGTTCGATCCCCCGGTTGCTCCCCGGCCACAGGAGGAGGGTCCCACATGGCGCGCAGACCTCTCCTGCCGCCCGCTGCTCCCCTCAGCAGTGTACTTCGGTCCTTCTGCCTGTTCTGCTCCCTGCTCTGGCTCTGGTGAATTCTCTCACCCTCCCGCGCTTCTGACTGTACCCAGTGCATGTATAAACAAAAAAACAAACAAACAAAGAAATAAATAAATAAGTAAAAGCATGCCTCTATAAAAAAAAAAAAAAAGAATTCTCCAACGTGGTAAACAAAAAGAGAACCACAAAGGAGACTAGGGTTAGAAAATATGGCAATAAGGACTCAAGAGACATTGTTGAAGCTCAATATTGACCTTAAGACATACTCAGCTGCAAACAGAAAGATAATTAATGAAGGCCACACAGGTGACCTTCAGAATTGAGGATTCAAGAATGGAAGGTGATACGGGGTTATCACCAAAGTTGCACTTTGATGAAACTTTCCAATTGCCGATAAGGAGACTAACTGGAAGACAAAGGTGAATTTATTAAACTTGCCCAGCAATCAATACCTGCATTCATTTGGAAATCCTCTTCCCCAAATCTGTTTCAGCTAGTCTTAGGTATATTCTCCTGAGTAAGCAAACAAGATTTTGACTGGCTCTAACGGAAAGGGGAAAGATTCTGATGGGCTCTCAGACAAATATGGTCAGTCTCTGCATTCTGTAAGGCAGGTTTATTCTGGTCTCTTGATCACTGATGTGGTTTTTTAAATTGAAACATGTATTATGTAGCAATATGTTCATCCTTGTATAATTAAATGTTCAACTATATTCTCAAAGCTGTGCAACCATCACCACTAATCCCAGCATATTTTCCTTACCCCCCCAATTCTTCCCTCCTCTCACTCCCTAACCACTAAATTGCCTTTTGTTTCTGTGGATTTGCTGATTTTGGACATTTCGTGTGAACTGAACTATAAAATATTCAACCTGCATGTAATAAGCGGTCTGCCTTCTTTCATTCAGGATGATGTTTTCAAGGTTCTTCTTTGTTACAGCCTGTGTCAGTGCTTCATTCCTTTTTATGGCTGAACATGTCACTGTAGGGATCCACCACCTTTTGTTTATTCACCCATCGGGTATTGAACATTTTGATTATTTTCATGTTTTAGGCAATTATAAATAACATTATAATGAAGATTCATGTACAAGTTTTTGTGTGAGCACATTTTTCTATTATTTTTGGTATGCACTTAAGAATAGAATTTCTGGGTCATATGGTAATCTCTGGAGCAACTGCAGACGATTTTCCAAAGGGGCAACATCATTCCTCAGTAATGCATGAGTGTTTTTCTTTATGGATTCTAAGGTCTATCAAATTTCCTTAAAAAATCATTTAGGACCGCCCCCCCCTCCCCCAAATGAGGCAGGCACAGATTTTTCAGAAGTTCCAGAATGATTCCCTCATCGTGAGTACTCTGCCAACTCCAATTCCCTGAGTGGGCAGAGTTACAACTAGAAAAGTTCAAAACTTGTCTCTACCCTACCAGAAATCATATGACACCATTTCTGCTTTGACAGCCCTACAACCTAATCTATATTCATTAACTAGAGCTGTCATGGGCAATCCTATAGCCTGTTATTTCCTTTCAGTCAAACAAGGGGAAATCTGTGCTAATGTAAATGCTATTTTCTGTACCTATGTAAGTACCATAGAGCCAGTAGAAAAAAACCACCTGACTTTCTAAAATGGACCTAACTAGATTCTGGGATGTGCTTTCATTGCCTGCATTTAGTTATCTAGGTCTTTCCTTCCAGTCATTTTGACTGTCAATAGGCTTTTTAATTCTAATCATTGCCACATTTCATTTGGCAATGTAAGCAACCATCTCACATCAGGTGGTCCAATAATCACTCATCTTACAACAGAAGAAAAGCTTAATCCTGATTTAATCACAGACTACATTCTGTGGCTACTCTTCTTAATCAGCAAATTGATCTTTACTCAGCAAAATCTTGGCAATGATGAAAATATGGATATAATAAGTGAATGTCATGAGACCTAATTTTGTCTGTATGTGACAAAAAAGGATGAAGAGAGGGACCTCCCAGGTGGTGCAAGGGGTTAAGGCGCAACCTATGAAGGTTGCTGCAGCCATCCCAGTTCCATCCCAGGCCAGGGAGCTGACCACCATAGCGCAGCAGACCTCTCCTGCCTCACCCCCTGCTCCCCTCAGCAGTGTCTTTCAGTTCTGTTCCCTACTCTCTCTGGTAAATCCTCTCACCCCCCACTCCACACACACCTTTGGTCTGTACCCCAGCTCTTGTATACATAGATAAATAAATCTTTTTTTTTAATAAATAAATCTTTAAAAAAAAAAAAAAAGACTAAGACAGAACAGTCCTGGATAGCTGGAACTGACTCAATAATATGACAAGCTGATCTGAAGCTCTTATGTCATTTATTTGTTGTTGTTTTTCACAGATTGATTTATTTATGCATAGAAGAACTGGGGTGTAGGCCAGTGGTACAAGGAGATGGTGAGAGGAGTCACCAGAGACAGACTGCGGAGCAGAGTAGGCAGGTCTACTAAAATACACTGCTGAGGGGAGCAGAGGGTGAGACAGGAGAGGTCTGCTGCGCCATGTGGATAGCTCCCTGACCGGGGCTCAAACTCAGGCCCTTTGGGATTGAACTCAGGCCCTTTGCAGTGATAGTGCTGAGACTTAACCCTTAGGCCACCAGGGAGGCCCTCTTATACCACTTTGTTCTCTCTTCTTCACATCCTTTCTCACGGACTCTAACCTCAGTCAAGGTTACTCTGAGAACATGAGAAGATGAAACAAAATAAGACTTTGACACAGAAGTAGAATGGTGGTTGCCAGGGGCTTGGGGAGAGGAGAATAGGGTGTTGTTGTTTAATGGGTATAGTGTTTCAGCGTTACCCGAGGAGAAAGTTTTGGAGATGGTGATTCTCTTAGATTTGGCAAGGCCTCCCCTGTGACCACGGCCTCCCCTGCTGGACTTGAACATCTAGTGCTCTGAGGCCCAACCAAGTGAGACTGTGCCTCATCCTTCAAGGAAGTCTCTTAAGACCTGGTAACTTTTCCCAGCCCCACCTCCACGCTGGGTCTCCCCCTGATCATAAAGAATTGAATGAAGGATTTCTGTTGGTTTCGCCAAGCAGTTTGGGAGGCTCTCATAGGCAGGGACTGTTTTATTTACTTTACACCCCCAGGGCCTGGTGCAGAGGAGGCACTTTATCCATGTGTGACAGGTCAGAGAGGGAAGAAGGCAGTGAATTGATAGAGCTTGTGCCCCAACCAGATGTGAACTCCCTGGGAACTCCCTGAGAAGCCCCTCTTTGCCACCTCCTGTCCCTTCTCCCACCGTGAAGCTGGGCTTGGAGGGGGGAGGCATGTAGGTGAGCGATGCTTCATTCAGGAGTCAAAAAATCTCCACCTATAGGACTTCTGGTTAATATCTTTATTTAGTTCCGGTAAATGTTTCCTACACATTTCTGGATATTTGGGTTAGAATTTTCTCTATTGCATTCAATAAATTGTTCTCAAGTTCTCATATATGATAAACATACAAGTACAAAGCAAGCTAGAATAAAAAGTTCCTTGCTTACAGACATTTAAACACACATTTTAATACTGGGCATAAGGAACGGAAAGTAGTAGAATGTGATTGAAATACCACCTGTCAGTTATGACCTGGTCCTCGTGCTAGACACAGGCTCTTTCTCGGCTCCACTTAAACCCAAGTCCCCAATCCCTTCCTGGACAAGAAGGGGGCCTTGCAAGGCCAGGAGAGAGCCTAGATAGGGTAGAGAAAGGCAAACCTCCCAGAAGAGCATCCCAGACCCTTGTGGTCAGCTCAGCCTCATTCAAGTGGGGAGAGCACCTCTGTATGAGTGTCCCGGAGGCCTCTCCCTTCACTCTGGACAGCTCCCACGGGTCAGAGATTGGACAGGCCCTGCTGTAGGCTGCTTAAATGATCCTCAAGTCAATCAGTCCCCACAGCCAGTTGCTGCACTTAAGGCCTTCCAGAGAGGTCCTCAGAGGCCTCCTAGCTCAAATACAACTTCAGCTCTGTGTGGCCCTGGCAGGATGGCATGTAGAGGTGTGAGTCCTGGGTGGGATGCAGGCATGATCCCTCCAGCTTGCCGGAAACCCAGACAGCAAAATTCAGCCAGACCAATACCTGTAGTTTCTGGCCAAAGCTAAGACCCCACCTTGTGGGCTAATCCCCTGGCCTGGCTGCCCAGACAGACCAGGTAGACATAGTCTGGTCTTGGCCCCTAAGAGCGCACCTGCACCTGGAAGTGCTCGCAGCGGGCGTGCTTCATGGCCAGCCCGTACATGGGAGTGAGGTCCACGTTCACGCCTGGAACCACGCTGAAGTCCAGCTGCTGCAGCAGGATGGCCAGGAAGAGGAAGACCTCCCAGTGGGCAATGATCTCACCGATGCACTTCCTCTTGCCCAAGCCAAAGAGAATCACCTTCCCACTCAGGGTCTTGTTGATGGTGCCATTGGGGGTGAGAAACCTTTCTGGCCGAAACTCAGATGGGTCGCCCCACAGCTTCCTGTAATCGTGAAAGGAAGCTGAATTGGTAGTTTAGGATTAAGAAGCACCAAGCAGGTTCATCCCCAACCCCAAGAAGCTGGGGAATGGCAGGGACAGCGGAGTCTGAAGCCCAGGAGAATGGAGTTTTTCCCCTGCTCTTCCTCAACTTACTCGTCGTGGTTGCTCTGCCACTGGTTCACGAAGATACAGCGCCCCTTGGGGATGTAAAAGCCATTCAGATTTGTGTCTCTTGTGGTACTGAGGAGGGAGGACGCTCAGTCAGACTGGCTGCAAGGAGATCCCACGCCTCTCCCATACCGTATCCCTCCCATCCTGACCAGGCAGTGGGTTCAGGGGGCCTCACCTGTGGGGGATGGTGAAGGGGACAAAGGAGGAGTGCCTGAAGGTCTCCAGGATGAAGGCCTCCATGTAGGGCAGCTGGGATTTGTCAGAGAGCCGGGGCCGCCGCCCCCTGCCAATCACCGTGTCTGCAAAACACAAAGGCCCAGAACATCAAGGGGCTGCCCCAACCTTGGCAGGGGATGGGGCACCTTGAGTCCTTTGAAGGGAGCCACTACCTACCCATCTCCTGCTGGATCCTTGTCTGCACGTTGGGGTTCGTCATCAGGTACATGAGGCTCCAGGAGATGGCAGTGGTGACTGTGTCAAACCCTGGCCAGGGGAGAACATAGGGAGCAGTTAGGTGGTTGGTGGGTCAGGGTACTTGGGCAAAGGTCGGGCACGCTGGGGTAGGTCATACCCGCTCCAAAGAGGTCCATGACGACATTGACAATCTTCTCATCTGAGAGCTGAATGTTGGCGTTCTCGTCCAGCTTCTTGTCCTGGCAGTGCTGGATCAGGCTGTCTGTGATGTCCCGGATGTGGCCCTGCATAAGGCAAGGCTCCCAAGTGAGCGAGACCCCAGACCTAGACCGACCTTTCCAAGCCTGGGTCCTCAACCCCTAGCCCTGCTGCTGAAAAGGTGACCCCCTCTCTGAGACTGCCACCCCAGCATCTTTCAGACTTTCTCCTCCGTCAGAACACCGGCACTGCAGCTCAAAAGACACCTGACACACTGAGTCTGGTGTCCTTTGCACGTCCTTTTTATCCTTTTCTCTGCTGTGAGGCCAGGAGACCAACTCTTTAGCTCCTGTGGTCCCCACGGGAGCTGACTAGGGGTTTAGTAACTTGTTGCTGTCTGCCAAAGAGTTAGAGAAAACCGGTCAAGAAAAAGTTTTAATTTTCTGCCAAGGATGGAATTCATTCCATGAATGACTTCAAAATGCCAGGGCAAAGGCCCCTGGGGGCCTGCCAACCCCCATGCAGCTTCAGTTATCTCTGACCTCCTGGCCCCTGACCCCACCCGCTCCCTGCTAAGCCCCTGCCTCCCTCCTGCCTCTACCTTCTCAAATGTTTTGTAGTGTTCCTTGACTATCTTCTGCAGAAAGTTGTAGAATTTCTTATTCAGGTCCTTGAATTTAGCCAGGGTGGGGTGGGGCAGGTAACGCAGGATGGGGATAAAGTCAGCGGGGTTCCCGGAGGCAGCCATCTCCCCGAACTCATTGCTCAAGTTGATTAAGCTAAGCAGTTCTTGGTCATCATGGTCGTAGCGGCGGCCAAAGCACATGGCACAGATGACATTGGCCACTGACACCACGATGTACCTGTAGGGGTCAAAGTGCCCAACTCCAGCCATCAGCTCCTGAAACTTGCTGATGAGGTATTCGGCCTCCTTGCCCACGTGCTCCTCCAGGTAGCAGGAGGATGAGGAAGCTGGGTCGGAGGCGATGGAGAAACTCTTGAGGGCATTCTGGGCCAGGCGCCGGCGGGCGGCCCACACGGGTCCAGAGTCTGGGTTGAAGGTCATGCTCTGGCCATCGGTGATCAGGGTGAAGGTGTAGAGGTCAGGTCGACCTTTGAAATCATCGCCCTGCCGCACCAGGGCCTGCCGGATGGTGTCCAGACCGCTGAGCACCACCACAGGCGTGCAGCCGATGCGGATCTCCAGCACGTCCCCGTAGCGCTGGCTCAGCCGGGACAGGGCCAAGTGGGGGTTCTTGCCCAGGGTCAGCACGTGCCCGAGCAGGGGCCAGCCCCAGGGCCCTGGTGGACTCTTCTGGCCTTTGGGGACCCGAGGCTGCCAGGCCTTGACCACCCAGAATACCAGGCAGAAGACAGTGGAGGCCACGAGCAGCTCCGTGGCTGAGATGGGGATGGAGAATCCAAACACAGGAAACATGATCAGCATAGAGATCTCAAGGTGGCTGTAGAGAGAGGGGGCAGGAGGCAGATCAAGAGGTGAGATCAGGGATGGGGGAAGTCAATGTCCTGAAGTGTCAGCATGCTCTTCAAGGAAAAGAGGAATACCCAGAACTGCTCATTGGGCACGACAGGGAGGAGGTGGTGGGAGAAACTGCTTTTGAGTTGCCACGGTGTACCAAGAATTCAGTCATTCTTCACTGGTCCTAGCCACAGCCTCTGAACTAGGCTGCAGTGAGGCTCAGAGAAGTTAAGCAACTTGCCCAAGATCACAAAGCCAGTAAGTATTAGATCCATACCTCCAACACAAACCACCTAATTTCAGACCTCCCTCTCTTAATTGCTGCCCCCACCTAAAACAGCATTTCTCAAACTCGAGTCTGTCATTTCCATATAGCTTCTGCACTCTTCTTAACTTCATATTTTTCTAAATTCAACTTTAAATCCACCCACCTACCATCATCCCAAACAATAATATCTGTGTGAAAGAATAGGTTTGATTTCTCCCCCAGAACATACATTAAGATAAACACATAATAGATGGGTCGAGTCCCAAGTCTTGAGCATTACCCACCACACTTGGGGAAATGCTGCTGAGGGATCATCTACTTTCTTAGCCTCATTTCACAGTTGGGGACACTGATTTCTGAGGGGACACTGGCTTGGCTAACATCACCCAGCACTCAAGAACAGAGCCAGAACTGAGCTCTTTTAGGGAAATCTCCGTAGGAAGTTTCCAGCTGCTGCGATAGGCACCTCCCTTTGAAGAATGATCAGATCAATGCATGAAAAAGAACATTCCCAGAAGCCTCACTTCTCTACTGCTTAATCTCAGGATCTAGGAAATCCTGCCTGACCCTGAGACAATGTGGTCAGGGGACAGGGGACAGGAAGGCCACTGCCAAGCCCACTCCCAGCCCTAGTTCTTTAAGTCCAACGGCCCCACAGTTTAAAAGCAGCTGGAGAGCAGAAAGATTGAAGCTCCGGATCACAAATATCCAGGCCAAGGTTTTGGTTGAGCTCAATTCTCATGAATGAGTAGTCACTCATTTGCTTGCTCTCCTGGTGCAGAAAAAGCCTAAAATCAGGGGAAGGTTCCCTAGCAGCCCAGAGCTGCAGAAAACTACAGACTGGAATTTTAAAGATTCGGAATGGATCTGATTTTAGGCCTGGGCTTGGTCTAGAAAAGGTGTGCGAAGAACTGCTCTTTCCAAGGCATCAAGGCTGTGGCTGGGGCATCTGCCTGGACTGGAAGGTGAGGACTGAGTGTTCCAGGCCAAATGGTGTGGCCTTGGTCTACTCATTTTCCCTCTCTCCGCTTACATCATCTGATAGAGTGGGTGAGACCTGAACTCTAATTCAGGGTGCCCAGTTGGATCTCAGCAGAGACCCAGATGCCACCTGGGGAAACTCACAGTCTGGTTAATGAGGTCTCACTATAAGAGAACACCCACATGGGGAGATTGTATGGTTCCCACTCAAGTGTTATCAGCAGGGAGGCTTCTTGGAGGAGCTGGATCCCAAAGTACACTGACACCCTGAGTGAACTGCCGAGAATGCTGGCCTTATTGTGTGTGGTGTCCCCTTCCACACAATGGGTGCCCCAAGACCTCTAGCGTTGGTGAGATGGTAGGAGGCTAAGAGAGATGGTAAGTTTTGGCGGACTGATAATCCAGTTCCCTGCAGCTCTCAGTCTCACATGACTGTCCCCAAGCAGAGAAGACAGTCAAGGAAATAGGGAAGGCCCCTGAGCAGTGCCCAGGACTCCTGCTAGGTGAGCCTCCCTTGTCCCTGCCAGCACATCCTAGTTCAGCACCAGCCCCACCCTGAAAAGGTAAAGTCAGTCAGGAGTCGCTTTTAGATAAGGCAGGGTACAGCTGGTGGGAACTCAAGCTCCCCATCCATCCACCCTGACTGCCCCGGGAGAAGCCCCGTCATCAGCAGCCTGCTGTGGGAGAAGCCACAGACTCCCAGCTGCCCTCAGCCATGCCCTGATTCCAGCCTCCCAGGAGACCCTGACCGGAAAGTCACAGGCACTCAGGCTGTCAGAGGGGCTGGAGCTGGAGCCTGGGCATCTCCTGCCAAGGTCCAGTACTGGCTATAAGACCTTAGGCAAGTCCTCCTCTTCCCCTGGCCTCAGTTTCCCCACTGAGGAGTTGGACTGCTGGTCACTGAGGACACACAGCCTACTTTTTTTTTAAGTTTTTTTTTTAAACATTTATGTATTTATTTATTTATTCAAGCACTGGATACAGTCAGAAGCATAGGAGGGTGAGAGAATTCACCAGAGCCAGAGGGGACAGCAGAGCAGGCAGACTACAAAGTACACTGCTGAGGGGAGCAGAGGGCGGCAGGAGAGGTCTGCGAGCCATGTCTGCGAGCCATGTGGGACCCTCGCCAGAGGCCGGGGATTGAACCAGCGCTGCAGAGGCTGCGGGCAGCTTTGCAGCCAGCGCTCAACCACTGCGCCACTGGGGAGGCCCCTCAGCCTACTTTTTGAGGTGCTAAAGCAGCAGCGACCTAGGAAGGCCTGGCGGCATCATAATGTTCCTGGCCATGGGAGGGAGGTAGCAATTCCGAAACCCTTAACACTCACCTGTGATGGTGAAGAGGTGCTGGCTGAGCTGGGCGCCAAGAGTGGTCTCCAAAGAAGATCACGGAAAGCTCCAAGGACTTGTCACCTTCAGAATGAGGGTGAAGGCACTGCCACCTTTATAGGCACACACGATGGCCACGCCCCTGGAACGCAGGGGAGGGGAGCAGACAGAGGGGAGTGCAGCAGAGATGGGGGCAGGGAGGGATGGTGGCTCTGGGCCACGAAGAAGGGGGTGAAAGGTGGGGGGACAGGTAAGAGCCTACTGTGGGGACAACCTCAGCTAAGTGACTGTACAGAAAGGGGGTGAGGGCTGGGGACTCGGGATCCCGGATTCCAAGATACCCCATGGACAGTGCAGAACCCGGGGGTGGGGTGGCGGGGGCGGGACGGGGGGTGGGGGCGTGTGGGGGCTGAGGGGGGGTTCTTGGGAAGACGTCCCAGGACATTCCAAAGAGAGGGTGCGCGGGGGGCGGGCGCCTCTCCCTCACTCCTGGTGGCACGCGGCCGGGCGGGCGGGGTGGAGCCGCGGGTGATGACCTTCCCGGGCTGCTCGTCCCGGCTCGCGTGCGAAGCGCGGCGCCCCCAGCCCGGGGTCACGCGCCGGAAGGCCGGAGGCGCCGGGGCCGGCGGGTGCCCGGCGCGCACCAGCTGCAGCGCGGGTCTCGGGTGGAAGAGCCGGGGCGGCCTGGCTGGGGCTCGGCGCCAGCCCTGGGGTCACTTTGGAAAGATGAGAACCCTCAGCCCGAGCCCCGGCCCCTGCGGCGCCCCCTCGGCGGCCGGGGGTGCTAGGGCTTGGGCGGCGCGGGGACCGGGGCGCGCCTGGGGCTGCGCGGCTGCCTCGGCGGGGAAGGCTTGGGGAGGACCCCGAGCCGGGCGGGCAGGGGACCCGGGGCCGGCGGTGCCCGGGGCTGCAGACACCTCCCCGCCTGGCGTGCGCGCGTCGGGCGCAGGCCCCGGGCAGAGGTCAGCGGCCCGGCCCGGCCCTCCGGCTGGGGGCGCGCTGCCCGGGGCTCGCGTGAGAAGCGCCCGAGGCCAGCGCGGCCGCGCCCCCCGCCCGGCTCCCCGCCCTGCGCGGCGCCCGCGGTCACGCGAAGCTGGGGGCGGGGGGCCGGCGGGCGCGGGGCTGGGGGTGGAGAGGAGGAGCGGCCGAGCGCCGGCGGCAGGTGGGGAGCGGTGCAAAGGGCTCGGGTTCGCGTGCGGAACGCAGCTTCGCAGCCCGGCGGGCGCTCGCGTGTGTCAGGATCTCTGGTCCACGCCTGGGGCGGGACACGCACCCCAGCGCGCCCGGCTGGCCAGACTGGCTGCCCCGGCGCGGTCCCCGCCCCTGCCGAGTCCTCCCGAGGTAGGATGTCCGGGACAAAAAGTCGCATTTGTGTGTCTCCCTCAACCTGCCCCTAACCAGCCACAGCGCCCGCCCTCCAGGCTCTGCACCCCTGACCCAATAGACGATGCCGCCGTCCAGCCCCCAGCCCGGCCCGGGGCAGAAAACAGCGCCTCGCGCTGCTCCCCCATCTCCCACTCAGCGGATGCCGCCTGGTGCATTGCACAAATGCAAGCGCCTACTGTGTGCCGCTGTTGGGGACGTTGGCGGCTAAGCCACACTGACAGCACTCCACTCCTGCTCCCGTGGAGCTGACGGTCTGGCGGGCTTGGGCGAGCCCTGAGCCCTTAGGCCGCCGGGGGACAGCAAGGGGGGCAGCCTGCTCCGCAAAGGAAGGTGAGCAGGGAAGTCCTCGTGGGCGAGATGACACTGAGCAGAGGCAGGAGTGTGGAGTCCAGACTCAAAAGGCACAGCTGTCCTGGCGAGGAGTGTACTTGGCAGGAAAGGGCATGCTCAAAAGCTCTGCCAGTATTGCCAGCATTTCTTAAGGGAAAGAGCAGTCGGGGGCACTTGTGGGGGAGTTGTCCTGGCATTTAGTGCCCCCAGGGGATGGGATGCTCTAGGGAGCAGCCCTAAGTCAGGCGCGGGGAGCACTTCCTTAAGAAACAGGGAGCTGCTTCTGTGTGAGATGGAGAATGTGCGCGGCCAGATCAGGTAAGATTATTCAGCTACTGCGCTAGGAACTGACTTAAGGCCAAGGACAGGTTTTACACCCTGACTTCTATCTAGCCCCACAGCTGTATGCTCCTGCAGACCCCCTTCCTTGCTCCCAGAGCACGTAGCCTCTGAACCAGGTTCCTATTTTCCTTCCTCCCTCTCCAATTCCTTCCACAGCCTGTGCAAAATCTCAATCACCTTGCCCCTTGTGTGTCTCCCATTTTTATGAGAATAGAAACCCAAATCTTTTGCAGGGCCCACCAAGTCTGTCCACCTCTACGTCTAGTTTCCTCTACTTTACTCTTTGCTAAAATGTCACTTCCTCTGGAAGCCATCCTGGATTCTTTCCATGACA